CAGAAATGAGCATTTAAGCTGCATACACAGGTTTTTATTTATGATGGTCTTGATATTCTTTCACAAAAAAAAAAAAAAAAAAGCAGCTACTTTCATGAACAAAAGACTTCCTCTCAACAGTAGAGAAAAAACCTAATAAACCAGATATTCCCATGTCCATTTTAAATAATGTGTTTGGGCTAATGAATAAAGAAACCATTTGGGTTAATGATAATTAGTGAATAATTTGGACAAATGGTTGAGAGGTCAGTTGGATCATCTGTTAATAATGAAAGGAAAATTATTCTGGCATGCAGTAAATGGTAAGTCTTCTACTGAAGAGGAACAGAAAAAATGACTTGTCAGATATCCATGGGGCATATCATGTTAGAAACACAAAGCTCCTCGAGAGCACCTGTATAAATATTTGGGGTGAGACTCTCAAGTCAAATAGTCATGCTGAATCTGATAAAAGGCTGTTCAGCCAAAGCATTTGACCTGGCTAAAGGCATGTGTCACTTGTTTGCAGTCAGAAATGAGAGCTTGTTGAAAACCCATGATTTTGTGGAAGTAAAGCAATAGGAGGAAGATAGAATGCCCATAGTCTTTTAGTATAAGCTGTTTCAACAAGGTATGTGTCCTAACTTACGTCCTTCATTTTCAGACACAGGACTTCTACAGTTGCAAATCTAGACATTAGAGTTTGCTTACTCATAGATTTTTCAAGCTAGGAATATTTATAGAACCCTGAGAATCACTGAGCCCAACTCCTGGCTTTACATGGGACCAGCTAGACTTCAAACCCGTTACCTGAGAGCACTGTACAAATGCTCTTTGTACTCCAGCAGGTTTGGTGCTGTGATCTGTGTCTAAGGCAGTCTGCTCCGTGCCCACCGCCCTGTGGTGCAGACCCTTTCCCTGAGCCCTTCTCCCGCCCCTCCCCTGACGCAGCTCCATGCCGTTCCCTCGGGCCCTGTCGCTGTCACACAGAGCAGAGCTCAGCGCTGCCCTCCGCTCCCTGTGAGGAGCTGCAGCCGCCATCAGGCCTCCCCTCAGCTCCTCTGCTCTGGGCTGAGCAGCAAGGAAGGGAAAGGACAGGAAACTTGACAGAAATATATTAAAATACCATATAAAGGTTTACTTTACTCATTAAGTTTGTGAGTAAAACATGCAGACACAGCATTTTTTTAGTTCAATTTTAAGGTCTTTTCTGTCAAATATAGTTGTGGTTATGAGTTTGCCGCCATAACTGGTAGCTAAAACAGACAACACTTAAGAAGGAGGCCATCACTGGGAATGTTTATTTCCCAGCTAACAAAATAATAGGATTTGTTGGAGTGAAATGAAACTGAAGCCTCTATTGAAGAAAGTGAAGAAAAAAAAAACCTAAATGGCTGAAAGCTTGTGAATGTTCCATCATGGAGTTGTCAGCCTCCTCCTGTGACAATGCCCAAAGAACATTTTTAATTTTGGTCTCTGGGTTGGATTTTGAAAACTTGTGCTGTGTAACACCCTTGACATGCAATGGGACTCTTCCTTTCAACTGACATGTACAGTGAGCAGGATGTGGCCTTTGTGAGCTCCTTGTTTCTGAGCTCCTTGTGAGCTCTGTTGAGCTGCCTTGGGGCTGACGGTGCAGTGCTACAGGCACTGGCAGCCTCTGAGCCTTTTGAGGTGCTCTGCTGTGATCTTCAGGGAATATGAGGAAGCTAGGGGCTTAGGTGCATGTCAGGAATACTGAACATTTTAATGATTTTAAATAGACTGCAAAAAGGGAAAGTAATGGAGGGCCAAGTTTTCCAGAAATCCAGTCAGTCCCAGGTACGAGATACTTGTGTAACTGAATTACATTGTACCATTAAGTATAGGTGTGCTGTTACTTTCTGTAAAAAAAATGCTGCTGATTGCTTCCCTTTCTATGAATTTATTGACAATGCTGTTAAATTTCCTTTTTTTCCTGTGAAAGTAAACCAACTGATAACATTTTCAATCTTTTGTTTCAATGTTTTCAAGGACATGGTCCCATTATTCCTCCTCTTCTCATTTTATTCTTGATTTCTAAGCTGTCTAATTTGAGATCTATTTCATTGCTGTTAAATCATGGCTATTTTGCATTTTTGTGAATCACTACAGCTGCTTAGGGCCCAAACTACAGTTGTTAGGCTTTCTTCAATTTGTACTTTAAAAGAATCAGGCTGCTCAAATGCTCCTGTCGAGCATTAAAAATATCTGGAAAGCACATCTGGAGTCAAATCAAGTATGCTTCTGACAAGCATCTGGTAAAGCACAAAGGTTTTTAGGGGGGAAAATCAAAAAAGTGACAACTGAGTAATGAATTAAAAATATTGCATCTGCTGTTCAGGACTTGGAATGGTTTTATTTTTTAACACTTTCCAGGATATAAAATTCATTGTTTTCCAGATACCACAAAAAGGTAGCTTATGCCCAAAGAACTGAAAAATGCCAGTAAGGTCAGAAAACAAAATGACTTTTAAAGAAGGTTGACAGTACAGATACTGTCTGTATTTCATCTGACTTTGCTCACATTACAGTATATTCTCAGATATTAAGAAAAAAATGTATGTTTCACTTATTTTAGAAAGCTGATAAGTTCATTTTTTTTCTCCTACACAATCTTCAGAGAGCTGGAGCACCTCCCCTATGAGGAGGGGCTGAGAGAGCTGGGGCTCTTGAGCTCAGAGAAGGGAAGGTTCCAAGGAGACCTTAGAGTGGCCTTGCTGTACCTGAAGGGGGCCTACAGGAAAGGGAGGGACTTTTTATAAAGGCATGTAGCAACACGATGAGGGAACACTCAGGATGAAGGTTTGAAACTGAAAGGGGGTGGATTTAGATTAGATATTAGGCTGGATGGGGCTGTGAGCAACCTGGTCTAGAGGGAGGTGTCCCTGCCTATAGCAGAGGGGATGGGAACTACATGATCTTAAAAGTTCCTTCCAACCCAAACCATTCTATAATTCAACGGATCTTACTTTTGTTAAAAACTTTTCATTTCTAAATTTGTTTGTAGCAAATAGAAGACTGTACACACCTCCTCTTGTAAATACTCTTACAAATATACCTTATTATACTCGAGTTTGGAATGACATGGTCAAGTAATGACTGTGTTTGAAACAAAACAAAAAACGCACTTTGAGGGTCAGATATCTGTGTAGGCTTCTAAACTTAGTTATGTCATAAGTTGAATGATTCAGGTTTATGTCAGTGGGCAGGCTGCAGCTGTTGTTCTTGAACTGGCATTTTTTCAGGCTGCCAGAAAGCATGTGCATCACTGGGTATGTTCTGTATATTAGAGCAAGAAGAGCAAGAGCTGCAGGACCTTTACTCTCTGCAGCTGATCAGAAAGGACAGCAAAATCCAATCAGGAGCAGAATATGTTTGTGCTGCCTTCTCTAGAATTACCTCCACTGAAATCTTGTAAAAAAAACCAACAAAAAACACAGCAGATCTGGTATGCAGACAGAGCCCATTACTAGAGAAAATATTAGCGGTACCAAAGTAGTGCACTAAGTGGCTTAATCTGGATCCTGGAAAAACAGATCTGTATGAAGGTTCTCAGCACCTGGGAGCTGGGCACACAGGTATTGCTTCATGTTTGTTATGAGTGTGGACTTTTTTCTGTCTCTTTTTTTTTTTTTTTTTTTTTTTCCATTTTTAATTAAAGTCTGCTGCTTTTGCCTTGAGCTAAAGATGACAGAAATTATTTATAAGCTTTTTCATAAACCTGGCACAAAAGGTTTTGAAGTTATTGACAAAGGAGCAGCAATAATGAGATTACGGATTTGTAATTGAGAGATAAATAGTAATAGCTATAAGGAGAAATATATTTTAATTTATTAGCCTTTGTACTCCGCAGCGATTTTCAAATAATTAGGTAGGAATGTTTTTTGTTCCTTTTTATGGGAAAATCATTACAGAGACCAAGTCAATAAGACTTTTGGCAGGCGTTTCAATAGCAAATGCCATTTCCAAAAGGTATTTTAAGGTTAAATTTATGAAGCAACAAGTTAGAGATCAATCTGATTGCAATTTCTCATCTTGGCAATATGTGTCAGAACGCAGTGTTTTAAAGATTTTCTATACTTTTCTTATGTCTGTATTGCAGAGGGGGAAGAAATGCAGTTATTTGTAGACTTTTCCCCTGTAATTATAAACATGATCCATACTCCACGTTAAAGGAAATGGAGAGGAATTCTATCAGGAAATGTTTATTAATCATGTTGGATTAGACACTGTTATGTCTTTGATAGTGAAACAAGTTACACTAGTCATTAGCTAAACAATACTTTAAGTTGTTTTGTTCTAGACTTACACTAAGAGTGGTAAATACAGGGTTCTTTATCTCAATTTTGTTTTCCACATATATTAGCAGTATGGTGCTAAAATATTGTATTAGTAATTACTCTTTTTGGTGATGAAATTAAAATATGTACTATTGTTTGCTATAGTCTCTTTTTCAGATGTAAGCACTATTGGAAATAAATAACACAGAGGATTTTATCATGTTTGTATGGTCATTAATTACAGCTAACAATTAGTTCAGCTGCATTTTATTCTGGCTACACTTGAACAAAAAACACTGAACGTTGCCAAGACATTTTGAATGAAGTATTTTATGTATAATAAATTGGTAGGAAATTGTTCCATGCTCACAAGAAACATAATACCTGGTAATGTAGTACGTAGATATATATGCATGTACTTACATAATAATAATAATGTTACCAGATTGTGCAGGAAAAAAAAAAGAAAAAGACACCTGACTGTATTTTCTGAACAGATTTAGCCAATTGTCATTAACTGTTTTTAACCTTTACACCGTCATCAATACTAAATAGTATTATATCAACTACATGCCTGAACTGGAAAGCTTTGTGCTTCTGTCATCTGTCTTGACAGAAACATGAAGGAAAATGAACTACCGAGACTTTAAAAGTGATTCATTGCTTCCATTAAAGCAATACATTTTTAAATCATGCTTTCATTTTTCTCTTCCTTGACAGGAGGCATTGTTGATAAGGACCTTCGTCACTACCTCAATTTACGGTTCCAGAAAGGTTCGGTAGACCATGAGCTCCAGCAGATCATAAGAGACAATCTCTACCTCCGCACAGTGCCATGTGAGTAGGGTGGAGATGCATAGATCTGTTTTCTTAGTGGCAACAGACTATCTGAGTTAATGCTGCTGAGGCCATTTGCAAAGTGTTAAGAGGTGAACTGTAGTTGAAGCAGTCTTCTTGTAAATAGATTAGTGGATTGGTTTATGTCTTCCACATTACTGGAGAAGAAATGAACTGTCTAATTCTGAATTAATATCTGAAACTACTTGATGTTTTCATAGTTGTAGCTCTCATAAACTGGCTGTAGAATAATCTTTTTCTTCAGTAGTTGTGGAAGGCACAAATTAAAGAAAAAAAAAAAAAAAAGCAGTTTTATGGGCTGGTTAAATTGATGTCCAACAGAGCGAGTTTGGTCTGCTTCGTATTTCACAGTATTATACTTTACAGAATAATATTTTGGAGTTCAAAACGCATCAGGGCAATAGAGGAAACATGTAAACTGGGAAATGTTAGGTGCAACAGGCATGGCAGTGAACGTTCATAATGCGTGTACATGTTAGTTCTCTTGTTGTTCTGTGAGTCAACTATATGTATATTGAAGGTATTTTGAAACCTCTAAAATCATTTTTACAGCTGCTGAAATTGTCTGTTTCTGCAGGAGACATGAAATTAAGCAGAGTAACATAAGGCATGTCAGACTGTCACGGCCATGCCTTTCAGAACAGATCTACTTGGCTGACAGGCAACATATCAATTGCAATGGAACAAAGTTCCAGTATTCTTCCCTCAAAATAATTGCTTGGTAGCCATAAAAAAAAAAGTTCTTCTGGTTTTTGGCAAAAAAAAAAAAAAAATTGCATCTTTGAATTTACATGCTTGACACTGGAATGATAGGAAGATGTCCTAAATAAGTGACTGTGCTATTTATATGGCAGTGGGTGGGTGTTCTTTGAAAGCCATTCTGTTATGAATGCTACTGTACAACTTCTTCTTTCACTACATTGAAAAATTGAGCTTTGCAGTGCCAAAAAAAAGAGGCTCAATCATTTTTCTTTTGTTTTGGAAGCTGAAAATAGATAAATATAATGTCTTAATTTCAGGAGTTCTATACATCCTTGATTAAAAAGAAGAGCAGACAAAAATTAAAGACTATTTGCCTGCAGGATACTGCAGGATAAAACAAAACACATTGTATCTTTGTAATGTTTGTGATGAATTAGCTTTGTCTGAAAGTACTGAGAACCAGAGCTGAAGTGCAAAGGCAAGTACAAAGTGGTTTTGAGGTTAAATCCCACTTCTTAGGATGCCTGGTTAATTATTACCATAGGAATATACTTAATATAGTCCTACCACACACTTCTTGATGCTGGAGATCCAGATTTAAGATACGGAAAATCTAACAGTATGGCAAGTATTGCACGCAGGTAAAAGGTACTGCATATGGGCAGTAAGGACATGATGACTCAGTTGACTTGCTTATTTATTTATTTTTAATCAAGGCAATAAGAAAACACTCTCATTGATCAAGAGAAATACCTTACCAACAGGAGCAAATCTATCATTCGAAAAGGATCAATGACAAAGACCAAAATTTGAAACCTGTTACACAAAATTACATTTTCTTTCTGCTGCAATTAATGCAACTTCTCTGTCATTGTATATGGATAGATCCTTGATTATTGTGTTATCATCTGAACAGTTTTAACTAAGTTAGAACCTTAAAAAATAATATAGTGACAGGGATGTAAGCAGCTGAATCTTGAGGTAAGTAGTTAAGTTCTTGGGGGGAATGGAAGATGGTTTTCAGTGGTGGTGTGTGGAAAAAATAGTACCCAAGCCTGAGTAGCCTGTTTAATTGGAAATTCTCTTGAAAGTTCTATGAAAATGTCTGTCATCTAAAAAGAAAAAAAAAAAAAAGACATTTAAAAATTTAGGCAGGGTGATGCATGGTTTGCTAAGGAAGTTTTCGTAATCAAGTAGATGAAAAAGACACCCTCCCATAGATTGCAACCCAGAATTCCCCTTGATCATAATGAGAAGAATCTCTTTAAATACAGTTTTATTCTGTCTCCAGTTTTTGTGTTTAGGAGAAAAAAATGATGAAAACTATTCTCTTTTTTCTTCTTATATAAATTGTTATTTTTTGAATTGTGAGCTTACTTTTCATGGTGATGATGTACAAAATTTTCTCCTTAGAGCAGACAATTTTTGATACTCTGTAGGCTGATATTAATGGTTCCAAACACTATGACAGGTAAGGAGATGATTTCTCTAGCATGCAGCAGTAGTGTTTAACTGGCTACATCATTGCCCACAAGTTCAATGGATAATGAGCACAAACTAACATGCACATTGCAAATCTTGCATCAGATGCTGCCACAGCAACAGCAGCATTCAGTTGGTCAAATTCTTGTGCAGAAAAATTATAATATAGAGAAAGCCAACTGCAGATGATACAGCCTTTATTTCCAATGGCAAAGCTGTAATATAAAGAGGAAAAAAAAGACAAATAGGTGGCAACCTTTTCCCTTTAAAAACAAACCTATAATCTTTTCTCAGTTATAGAGGAATAATTGCCAGTGAAACTAGAAAGACAGTCTTTGACCTTAAGTTTTTACTATTCGTTGCTTTTGTTCAGATTGACAGCACTGTGTCCCTAGCAGGACAGTGGGCATGACTGCTGGCTTCTCAGCCATTGGCTTTCCGGGCCAAACTCATATATCTTTCACTTTCATGAAATGAGTGGGGTGCTTTCTCTGAAGCAAGGAATCAGAAAAACAAATATAAATCAGGATTTAAATCAGGATAAGACAAATGTATTGAAAATGGGTAAGATGGTATTTACCAGATAAATATTTGAATTGTACATTGTATTTTATTCCATGTTGACCAAAGGATGGATAAATAGAAACACAGTGGATCAGTTCTGCCCTCTGAAACTGTCGCTATGAATGAGACGAATTGCTTGGTTCCTTGGGTTTCTCTGTTTTTATTCTTGCAGTGCTGCTTTCTACCAAATTGGAAATGACTATATGATCCTAAGAATCAAATGTTACCTTCTATAAGCGATTGCCATTCTTAGTGCCATATGAAAGTGACTCAGTGCATTGTCAACAGGAATTACATACTTGTATTCTAGGGGAGAATGTAGTGCAATTGTATTTGCAGCACTGGAGATACAGCTGTTAACTAGCTCTGTCCCCAGAGCTGTATGACAGCAGTAATCAAACTGATACATAAACAGGAAAATGAAGAAAAAGTTCTGTTAATTTGAAGGTTAGTTAGAAAAGCAATAGAGCTTTCAATAGAGAAGGTCAGGAAACAAAGGAAAGATATAGTATTGTAAACAACACAAAAGAAAATTACCCTTTGAAAGAAAGACAGTGGTCTTTCAAGACACAGCTCTTGTTTCAATGCAAGCAGGAGAACTGGACTTCAGATGCTGAGAAACCTGAAGTAATACAGGTGAGAAATATGCTGAGGATCTTAGAGGAAATCAAAGAATGATAAAAGACAATGGAGGAAAGAAAAGCTTACAGGTCTCTATATTCAAAAGATTTCACCAACCGTGTCTCATGCATTTTCTTCTCCCTCTTCTGTTGTATGGGTTTTAAGCACAACTTTCATAACCTGAATTTATTCAGAAGTTGTTTAGGGGCACTGACTACTGAGGTGTGTTGCAATATCAAAAAATAGCCATGGTAAGACATGTTAAACATAGATAAGTGATCCTTGATTTTCTGTCTAAGTCTGGCCAAGAGAAAGGCCATGAAATGTATCTAAGACTGTGAATGCTATGGACAGACATTTAGTTGTGCTGCACTTTGTGCTTTGTATGCTGTAAGTAAACTGCAGTTGCCACATGTGTGTGCAGCTTTCTAGTCTTACTGTAAGTAGAGATGGCTCTAACTTCATGTCCTCGCAAGAATGAAGCTTTGAGGTTAATATGTGGCAGGAAAACAGTTTCGGTAGTGCCCATTGTGGTCAGTCCTGCTTCATTTAGTATTTCTTTCCATAAATAGCAAATTTCACTTCCATAAGAATTTGCAAAACAGTGGAGCTGTGATTGAAAATAGTCTGTATGCTTCTCTCCCAGGCAGGGAATATGAAATGATAGTGGGAGACAGTCTGATTAAATAACACTGTAAGAAGTCAAACAGTGACAAGCTGATTCATAGAAATAAAAAAATTATCTATTAATTTGAAGAGATTACCACTGATATCCTCTGGGATATAACCTCAGATTGACAGTAGTAATTGGGCTTGCTGAAATGAATGGCTCTATCCCACTGCACTTATATACACGAGTGGAGATTGCAGCCCAGACACCTGGCCATGTGTTAGAAGTGAGCATGTGAAATAATAAGAAAAGTGATAGAGAAGTTTCCTTCCTAGTGTTTGCACTTAGAAAAACAGCAATGATGGAAAATGGTAGGAGTGGTATGCAGCCCTGGCTTATTGCACTAGATAATGCTGTATCACTATTAATGCAGAAGTCTTGTAGAAAGAATGGTTTATTTAAGACATCTGTCAGATAGATAGGAAGAAAGGTTCAGTCTGTGACAGCCAAATTCTGTATGTGTGCAAACAAGGGCAAGAAATACAGTCATTATGTGCTAGAGTTCTCCAGATGTGAAATAGTGGTAATAATTCCTTCCCTTGCTTAGTCTGCCTTATGACTGTTCTGTGTTAGGACAGCATAGATAGCAGACTGGAACCTGTGATCACAATATCTTTCCTTTCTGCATTTATTTGTTACTTTCATCCTCTGTATGTAATTAGACTATTGGGTCATTGTTATATTGCATTGTGAATGACTTTAAATGAGAGCCACACATTCAGACATTATTTTGTTCAGTTCTAGTATAATCCAGTCTGTGTGCAAATAGATGTAACCTACATTCTGCGGTATCGTCTGTGTGCTGTTAAAATGTTACACACTGCAGAGTGCTTCTGTTTGTTGTCTAGTCTCCTTTCCAGAAGACAAAGCATGTGTAGTATATATATATATATATATTTTTTTTTTTGTCATGTATGAGAAAGTTACTACCAGTTTATTT